TAATAATAAATTAGTTGAAATGAATTACATTGGTTCTACTAGATGTTAAACCCCTAATCCTTCCACATTTTTCTCGTTGCTTTAATTTGTTTATCTATATTTGTTTAGTTTTATGTGTGTTGTATTAAATCTTCAATTTTTTGGTCAGTGAATTTTTTTTAATATGCAATAACAATGGTGATGATGATACTTAGTCGAATAGTTATAAATATTAAGTTCTATAGATTTTTGTTTGGGTCATTCGTCTCCCGTTACCACATTTTCACTAGTTTTTTATATCAATTGTTTTATTTATTAAAAACCCTAATATTTATTATATTCATTGCTCATATTCTTACAGCAACAATACAATAAATAAAGGCAATAATATATTTAGTGAAAACGGCGTGTACTTGGAATGACAGTGGAATTCAAGAATCACGTTTCATCCCATTTAAGATTAGTCAACTGGAGGAGGTCCCTATGTTCCAGGGATTTGAACCCAGTACCTTCCACTTCATACAACATTGTAGCTCAAACCCTTCCTAGTAACAATATAAACATTATATCTTTTGATTAAATTACTAGCTATTTTCACTTAGTATCACAGTAAATAATAGATTGAACGTAAGTTACTTACCTGTGTTTGACGAAGATGCTAAGAAAATGTAGTATTCTAAACTTCTTGAGAGACAACAAATGCCAGCTGAAATATAAAATAGTTCTTTAAGACCTATACGTGTCAGTGACTTGATTAAACATAAGTGCAGTTACCCATCTATTTAATCTTTAAAGTTTTACTAGTTTTGCTGAGTTAAAGGCTTACTAACTCTCAGTATCCATAGTAAATCTCTCCTAACTCTAAAAAACTCTAACCCTCCATGATCCCTGAGAGATATTCGTCTGTCAGTCGCGGTCGGTCATGTTCTGCTACATTTATGCTATATTGCTTTCAGCTGTGAAGCTTGACACACAAATGGAGATGGCAGACAGAGGATGCGATTTCACCACAGAAAATATCCAAATAGTTTTAGTTTATGGTGCAACTAATATAAGGGTAATGTGAAAATTAGTTAGCAAACAATAATGAACTGCATACATTTATTGACCAAAGTGCTTCATACAAAGTTAGAAACCCATTATCCGGAAGTTTTATGCTGGCTCACATTGGGAGGAGTTGTATTTTAAATTTTTCGGGCTAAAAACAATCTCAGTTCACTAAAGCCGCTGGCTGCTGATTTAAATCGTGCAGGATGATACAAACTTCCTAGTTGAATTCCGCATAATGACTGAAATGTTTGGTCACGCATCTTATTTACAAGGATAATGTAATTGGTTGCGAAACAAGATTTACTAATTTTTTATCATTTACCAAGTTTCAACCATCATATTATTCAGTAGCATTCATACCTTGATACAGATTTTTACTTTTCAACCATAATTTCTGTTTTGCTAATGTCTTCTCTTGATTTTGCCATTGCAACTGGAACTAATACTATTTTGTGAATCCAGTGAATTCATTCCAAATAATATTGTCTTTTGACCTCTATTTTCATTTTTGACTAGTCCTTTACTTGTTAGTAGTACATGGTATTGTCAGTGAAAATTTTGTACAACAATGAATTCTAAAATGTATAATTAATGAGCTGATTAGTGGATCTTTTATTTCTATATGAGCATTAGGTTTGCAAAAAAATCACTCAGCAGCTGATTTTTCTCGTTTCATTACCTTAGTAATTAAGTTTTACCGTAACGGATAAATTTAAAATAAGCTTCCCTGTTGTTTAAATCAATCAAAAATGAAACATGCTAAAAATCAGATAATAAGAAAATTGTCTAGTAAATGTAACTAAGGTCAAAGTTGACTATAGATGTACCAGACACAAAGAATCTAAACATGCTTGTTTTAATGTTTAACAACAGTTTTGGAATTTTTCTCCTAAAATAGAAAAATATTGATTTGGTGTCTTATGTGTTTCTGGTGTGAAGATCAATACTAAAAAAATTTAGCTTCTGAAGCTTTCTGAGAAATAGTTGATTGTTTGAACTTAGCCATTATTGAGAGCGAAAAAAAAACACTGAAACAGACAATCAAACATAAACAATTCATCTGTATTGGTTGCTTGAATGTTTCCATCAATGTTTACGATTGCAATTGATCAAATCTTTCAACGTATGTGGATCGTATGCAGATTGCCTCGCTACTGCCTTTAAGTTACAACCATTATATCCAGAAATAAATAACGGCAAGCAGTGGAATCCAGGAGATACATTTTGTATTTGACGCTTCATTTAGCCACTAAGTTAAGATGATGAATAGTCTGTGCGTGTATATTCTTTAATAATTTTTATTATGAATGAAGTAGATTTTCTCAAGATTCCTCCTAATACCAAACTTTCTGGAAAAAAATTCAAACACTATGATTTTTACTACCATATATATATAGGGAGTTAGATGATATAAACTGAATTCACACTCAGCAAATCAATCTTTTACTGTCTTCCAGTATTTTCTGCGATAATACAGAACTTTTAATCAGAAAAAACTTTTCTTAAAAAATTTGTACTTATTCAACTATTTTCTCATCACCATGCAAGTATAGATTTTCTGTTACATAGTTTTTCACTGACTACTTTTTTTTAATTTCATTCAACCGTTCACAAGTTTCATTCTGTTTAGTCCAGTAAGAGTAACAACAGACAAAAATGAATCATGCAGAAACGTTATCTCATTCTAGGTACTTTGAATCTTTCATTCACATTGACACTTATCGGATTAACAAAATATGTTAAATATGTATTTTTGTTCAAAGTATACATGTAATAATTCATTGCATCAAATCTGTATTGTAGTAAATTCTTATATTTTCATTGTCTAAGATTTATCTCTACTACAATGAATGAATTGAAATCAGTTATCAAGAGAAGGATTTATAATCTTAACCATCCTTCAACTTGAAGATTCTTCTAAGATTCAACTTTTCTTAATAAAGACAGTTGAAAAAAATGCTATATTCCAATGATTCTTTCAAATCTCACAACTTAATTGAATAAAAATTGTCTAATATGAAAAATCTATACTGATATTGGATATTGGATAATGCGTAATATTTGTATTAAAAAGAGTTGCTTATTTATCGATCCATCAACAATAACAAATCCTTGTATAAGTTGATATGCTTTCCTTTCATATGAATATAAAATTCTGTTGAAACAATCAAAAAGTAATTCAATTTCCTGAAATAAAACAGCAGCTTTACAAATAGAATTGTTTGTAAAATGGTTTTACAAGTATTATACAAAACAACGAAATAATTTATGCTTAATTTTTTTGATATTATGTTTATACTAGAAGTAAAATGGTTAAACACAACTTTACATATAATTTTAAAGCAATAAAAGCGGTTTATAACATTCAAAAATACAACATTGATCCGTATGTCTAGTTTTCTATAAAACAACAGAAAGCCATAGAAGCAATGGATATACATGTGTTATTCAAATTTACAATGTGCAAAGTCTTGATATTTGTCTGATACCAAGTTTGATATATGTATATATATATGGACGAATTTTTTCATAAAAAAATATCTTTCTTTTGAAGTGTAATTGTTTTTCAATACAAGTATCTGGATATTCACTTATTTGACTAACTTGGTCGATGTGCATCGATCTGTCTTCTTTTACAGTCAAACAGTAATTTCCTATATTCAAAACTAGAAAACATTCATGTAGTAAGTTGTGGATAACGCACTTCGTATACCTTCATCGTAGTACTCAAATAAATGGATTATTGATTAGTAAATCAAATATTTTTCTAATAATTACTTATAAGGAGTTAAGTGGTTCGGGTCATTCGGCAATAAAACCTAGAATTAAATATCGTTCTAACTGGCAATCGTAAACAAGTTTTGTCTTTTAAGTTGGAAGGACTGATATTTCATACGGGATTAAAGCCGAATGTCATTGTCTGAGACGTTCGCACAGAGCCATTGGGACCATAATTGATATGCTTTACGACTGAGGTATTAACGCACTGATTGCTCAGTGAGAATTAACCAATATTATTAAAATATTTACTGATATTTAAATCTAACGTTTACTAAATACTCCATCTTATAGACAAATAGTACTAAACTATAAGTGCAACTGATAACTAACTTATCATCAGTTATCAAAACTGTAAATTGTTTTGTATGTTCATTACAAAAATAACTATAACTTGAAATATTTTAAAATACAGACATTTAACTAAATCGTAGTGATTTTCAATGTTTTTCTTATTGTGAAACTGAAATAACTAATTTCAAAAGACAATTAACAGATAGTTATTACCATCAGTCAACACACCTGTAAATGAACATGTAAATTCATCTATTGAATAAAAATGAATACACGAAAAAATAAAACTCATGTTCTTCTTCATGATTTTGTCTAACATTTCTACAATATCACTAGTGCATTCTTTTTTTTCTTTTTAAGTTCCTAAACATTTGTCCACATATGGCCAATAGTTAAATACAGACAAATGTATACTACTATTCAATTGATGTATCTGTATGTACGACGCGCACGCACGCACAAACACACACACACACGTATACACACACAAACAATAATGCATAAATCATCATAAACAATCAGTTATTGTTTCTTTTTGGTTGATTTGTGTTGTACCGTAAAGAATTTACATTTGTGCTTTGTTATTGTTGTTTTTTTTCTTTCATTGTGTTACCATTGTGTTTTATAGATTATAGTATAAGATAAACTAAATTGTTCATTGGCTAGTAAACGTTGTCTTTAGTTTATTGTTCTACATCCCATACCGTCTTTCTTTCTTTCTTTCAAATTTTTTTTTCCTCCTTCTACTACAGTCTTACAATCTTTCGGTTCTTTCAGTAGTATGGTTGTTTTGAATGAAAATTTTAACACCTAAATGCATACACATAGATATATGCACAGAATGACAAGTATCATAGTTATATAAAAGCGTGAAAAATGCTTAGTGATTATGATAAAATAAATTACTAAACATTATACAGATTATTTAATTATGTTATGATCAATAGACAATCGAATTATTTCTATTTAATTATCAAATTGTATATAATCCTGATGAAATTTTAACTAGTGAACATATAACACGAATGATAAAAAATGTTACACAAAGAGAATAATAATCCATGACTGGTGAGTTGAATTTTTTTTTGGTTATGATTGTTATGGTTGTAACTTCTTATTTAATAAAAAGTTTGAAAGTTGAGGTAAACTTATAAACAACGAATGAGTGTATGTTAAATAATTTTTGACAAGTTTAAATCAATTTATACAAGATACTTACTTACTTTGCCGCCTGCGGCTATTCTGAGGTTACTGCCTGTTCCTGAACCCAGATAAAGTAGGAAGGTTAAACATGGGGTCAGCGACTTCATTCCGTAGAACTAACAGACAGTGAATGTTAAAACTCAGTATCAGTCATAATTGTACAGATATATTCACTCTTTATGTGCTTCTCAATCTCGCATTTCAAAAGTGTTTAGAACATTTTATGAAACAGAATTTATTTCTTTCGAATCATTTTCTCAATGCTTAGTCTTTTTTTACTACCCACAGGAACTAGTACTCCTTTGCATTTATCATAATTTTGTCTTGCTTTACTAATTTAGCGTAGGAACTTAAATCAATGAATGTTTGTACCAGTTTATACGATATTTACGACTGATCAGTACTAAAGCTTAGGATTCGATTTGTGTTATTTTAATTAACATAGACTATTTGCAAAATGTTATTTAGGGCTTATAGCAACCGACTGCAGTACTTGCGTTTTATGCTCATGATTACACACTGGTTCAAATCTAACGAAGATCAACATTTCCAATATGAAAATATTGTGAATATCATAAAAATGACAGAAACTAAAATATCCGCTTTACTCTAGTAAAGTTCACATTAATCCCAAATATGCGATTATCAATAATCAATAAGTTTTATTTCAAACTTTTCATCATCTATATGAACATGCATCCTTATAGCAATTTACTTTTGTTATAATACTTAAACTTATCATTTTTACAACCTCCGAAAGAAATCGATGATGTAATCAGAATCTTAGAGTTGGCATCTGCATTCTTAAACTCAACGTAAGATTACATAGATTATAAAAAATATATTTGCAGATAGGTTATTAGACAGCTTGAAGAAAAGATAATGATAACAAACAGCTGCATAAAGTTTCTAAATTCATTATGAATATGGAAAACATTTTACTTCCACTGAAAAATGTTTTTATTATCGGCCTAAAAGATAAATGTAGTCTTAAACGAATAAACCTTCAAGTAGACCTCTTATTTATGAACTGAGTTCAATATTTTATAAGACACTCTCAATAAATGCTTATCAAGTCAAACAAGAGATTAATTCTGTGACTTCAATAGTTCCTATTCACACATGAAGTTTACTTGTATCGGAGAGTATAGAACTTCGTATACAAATGACTATGAAAAATAAAATTACGTATTAGATAACATGACTTAAAATTCAGTAAAATTTCTACAATCTAAGGAATCAAGCAATCACATAATTCACTCAAATAAAATATGTTCATGAAAAATCTGAGTAGTAAAACGTAGTTTGGATTTTTTTTAATTACAACCTACAATTACCATTTGTATTGTTTCACAGAAAAACTAACAACAAACGTGAATAATTTTATTGTGTACACAGCAGAAAATGTTTTATTCTTCCTTGAAACGTTTAGGTGTTGAACGTCGTGCTAAATTAAAATCATTAATTGTATTCGTCTGTTGAGATTTGTAAATAGATTGTTTACAAGATAATGTGAATTTTTTAAAATAAAATACTTGTAAATGCATGAGATATTTATAAAATTATTTATGCTTTCAGTAGATACATTCATTTTAAATTAAGTAATTTAAAATAAAGCACTTATCTGTTTATAATTAAAAGATACAGTTACAAGTGAATTTCACTATACTATAGTTATTCATTTCATTTAATGTAACAGCAGTGTTGTTTCATCATTCACTGTTTTTCTATAAAACATAAATTTCATTCATCAAACCATTTTTACCTGAACAAAAAAGGATAAAGTAGAACAGTAAAATTTGGAATGTATGGAATGTAAAATTTGTGTATATGCCAGAAAAAAAAACTAGTGCACAGATGAGTGTGTTAAAGTAAATGTTAACGTTCAGTATGTAACAAAATTGTTGCTAGCATTTTCATCGTTATCTTTTGAAAAAAGGACATTTCCAAAACGATAACTATAGATAGCGAAATTGCAACACGTAAGTTTTCTTCACAAGCAGTGGTCTACTTAATTTAAGCACAAAGTTTATTGCCCAAAGAAACGAAATTTCGTTGAATCCCAAATAAAGAGTTGGAGGAGGTTTCAAAAGTGTATAGGCGATAAGCTCGTCAACTGATATGGCTGAAACTATTACGCGTTCACCTTAGTCAGTAAACGAGATCGAAGATAAATGATCCAGTGACAAGATAGGATACTCTAATCCGAACGTTCCAAGGTCACACTAAGTAAAGGAAGAAGTCTTGATAAGGCGTAGAAAGTGTATTCTACAAGCACCCAAAAAATATGAGGTCAACAAGCACACAAATCGAGTTTATTTATACATCGTAGAAACGCCTTTGAGAGATCCACAAAAATAGCGTTCTAAAATAATACATCAACCAATAACAGCCAAGGATTTTCCGAGTGGGAAATGTAATCTCAACGTCAACTGATCGGCTCTTGTGCTTAAATATAAAATATAAAATTAGGACTGTTATCAAGTGAGTTCTGAGAATCCAACGTCCCCAACAATAGGTATAACTATTTTATTTGAGAAATTCAATTTATGAAGGATGTTTGCGAACAGGAAAAATATCATCTCGTTACTCCTAATACTTTCAAATTTGCTTGTTCATCGGGCTTTTATTGGATTTCCGGTGGCCATATCTGTTTGCCTATCTTACACAGCGGGAACTTATCTAATTATTGATGAGTTCAGAAGGTGCTCTGTGCAAAGAATACTCTCTTAAATTATTCTAAATGTACAACAGAGATAAAAACTTACATTGTTTCGTAAGCAAAAGAAATACCAGATTATGGGGTGAAAATGTTTTAGATGGATAATGGTTGGTTTTTGCTCAGCTGCTGAAGACTGAATTAACAGAGACGTAAAATGAAAAATAAATTAAGGAATGAATGGAAATCATAGGGTACCATACAATCACTTGAGGATTGCTTAACCATTACGTATGGTTCTTTAGTCTTTTCGAAAACTTGCCAATTCAAGAATAAAAGTAGCTACTGTAAAATATTAAGTAGTAAGGTAACAAACATACAATTTTAATAAATATAATTTGAGTTACAATTCAATTTTAATAAAATCCATAAGCTTAGTGGATCTGTTACTAACTCATAAGAACTAAGATGTAATCATGTATCTGCCTATCAAATATGAATAGTGAACTCAAGAAATTTACTTGAGACTATTTTTCAATTCGATCTGCATTTTTCACATGAGTAGATTCATGATTTCAAAATGTAACTGAACAATCTCCACAATCCCATAATGCAAATTACCAGGCTCAGAAGTGACTAGCTCCGTGAGGAATTTTCTCCAAGTTCTAGTGAGAAGTTGTGACCAGTGGAATTCAACCCTTTTCGGGCGTGAAGTAGTGCTAACAGAAGATAGTGGATGAGGTTGCGCAAGACCGTGAACTGATCGAAGTTAGACAATAACACCGTTAGATGCCGGGTCAATGGTCCAGAGGCTAGGCATTCGCGCGCTTCCTGGATTCAAATCCTGAGAGGTGCGGGAGTTATGAATGCGCATCACTGATAAACCCCATACCAGAACGAAACGGCTGCCCAATGCTTCGGGGTTTCGAATGGTAGTCTAAGATTGATGGATTCATAATTTAAAAAACATGATGATGAATAAATCTCATTTTTGTACAATGAGTGGTCACATCTAAGTAACTCATTGTGTATTTATCGGTTATCTTTATATGTGACACCAGGTGTATGAGTAGCCAATCTGAACCTACACTTTGTAAAATTGGACGAATAAGTAAGCGGTGTACTGAAATGAAAACTGGTTTCATCTTTTATTTTTCAGTATTATTAAAACCAAGATATTCAGTCTCGAATTCTCTGTTCGAGATTATCTCTTTTATAAATCTAAAGCCTCACTGATTTACATTCTCCTACCATAGTAATACACACAAATGTAGTTAACCATGTCCATTTAGTCACAACAAACAAGAAATCGTCACCACTTTTCTGAATGCATAAACAAATCCTCCCATTCCTTATCGATTTTCTCTAACTCTAATTATCAGTCATGCCTACTCTAATGATTCGTATCTTCCATTTTCAATACTCTGCCTAAATATGAAACATAACATTGATATTTTAAAGCCTATAGAGTCTATGACCATGCGTCTGTATTACTTTACACCATCTAAAAACCCCTACTCATAGAAAATGATCCTTGTGTGGAAATTTTTTTCACAAGTAGTGTCATTTAGTCAAATATGTTGAAATCAGCTAAATGGACCGTATATTGTTGTTTTACCTTCAAAGTACATAAGGTACTACCAAAATAATTAAATAATTAAACACTGAAACGAAGTCTCACCGTATAATAGTTGTTTCGTTAAACCTATTATTAACTAAAACAATCTTCAATAGTCAGTTGATTTTTATTTAATGAAAGTGACACTTACAAAATTCAGACAGTAATATTTTACTCCAAAATATAACTGACTTTTTTTTATTGACTTCAACTGAACCTCAGATTCTAACAGAACTATGTTATACATCATACACTATGTCATTTAAACATTAAATTCAGTATTTACAGACATCAATGTTATTCTACATGTCATTATTAATTAGTGAGTAGATGATTGTAGTCAATTAGAACACATTTTCAGTATATCCCATGTGTGATTTCTTTAATATATTCAACTTCTAGGCTGTTGGAAATTTTCTTGATGTTTAACTGAAAATTATCAACTTAAACAACCTATACTTTAACTTTTGCACTGAGTAACTTAGTTGAATGTATTCGCCACTAATATTTCAATTACATCCTCAATTAATAACATAAATTAAAATTTATCACTCAATAGACAAGATTTTATTAGTCGGGCTAAACATTAATCCATATCAAGAATCTTTTTCACATAATTAATTGTCAAAACGTTAAAAATCAAATTGAACACTTGTTCAGAAATCACTTTGATAGGTTTAACACTTTCAATCTATCGAAACGATAACGTTTTTTGTAATACTTTTTTTACGTTACAGAATAAAATGGCATTCATGTACAATATTTGGATATGGAGAAAATATAATTCGTTTATATTCATTGTATTACTTACAGAAATTTACATATATTTATGCAAATATTATTATCCAGATTTCTTTTATATAAATATTTTAAATGGAGTTAATGGTCAATTAAATTTGTGGGTAGATCGTCAATTAGTCATACAAATTATTGAATCAATGCCACATAATCAAAATATCGCAGGTAAATTACGTTGTCCAAGAAGACTACCTGAAATTCATAGACATAGTAAGTTATTTTACTATTTTGTTGACTGTGAAACATGGCCAATTAGAGGAGAAGAAATTCATAAGATGCTGGTTTTCGATCATAGGTGTCTCCGAAGCATTGCTCGTATATCATAGAACAACCGAGAAAGCAATGTTATCATTAGGAAACTGGTCCTAGGTAAGGATGGTAGGTCAATAGATGAAATACTGAAACTTCATCAGTTGAGGTGGTTGGTACATATGTTGCCTATTCCTAACCACCGACTGCCTTGTCAAACTGAGCCATGTTCGTAGGTGTTGACTATCTGGTTAGGGCCCGCAAGATGATAGTAATCGATGGCTAGAGACCCTGAATAACACGACTCAAAACCGTTGGCAGTGGCGCAGGCATGTTCATTCTATGTGTCCTCTCAAATTCTAACCTTCAGAGTTCCTCATCACCTTCATCCTTTTGTTTTTCAGTTTATTTCACTAGATTCTACTTTTTGAATAATATCCTCGAGCTCTAAACTCTCCGATTACTGCTAATACTTCTACTATCTCTACTTTTGTTTGATTTGAACCGACAATGGTATTTCGGTGCAAATGTAGTATGGTAACTTGAACTGACGAACGTACATACGAAGTTCTACGTTGCTGTTGATTGAATGATTGTTGACTTACTAAGAATGATTTTTTTGAAATTTAACTTGTTAAAATTTAAAATGTTTACAAGCAAACTGACTGAGGAAATTTATTCATCGGTAGTCATATATCGACAACACACTCATGATTAACAGTGAATTTCAGAAAAACTGTGGTTTGGCTTTGTTGTTTCAAAGCTATTATCCATTATACAGATCGACTGTGAGTTGTCTACCAATAAACAATTACTGAATACGACTACCACTGTTAGCATCTGACGAGTCACAAATGAGCATTATGGATCCCATTGTGATAGCGACTATCTTAAATAAGACTACAAACATATAGGATTTAACTAACCAGTAGTTCATTTTATAAGGTAAATAATTCTCATAAGCAGTGTAAAGCAAAATAAATGGATTGTTCATATAATTCATTGACAAAAATCAAGTGAATTAGAAACCAATAAGTCATTCATAGACGTGAATCTTCGAAAAATTAAATATTCACATTTAAATTATGATATAAGATCCGTACAGTTTTTTTGATCATCTTCACTTGTGAATTTTATATGACTGAAAACATAGATTGTTTCCGCATCCTTTAGTATTATGGTAAATTTTATCTCCTCATTAGTCGACAACATTTGTTTTATAGAGTAGTGGGATTTACAACATCTCAGTTAGTAGACATGTACACCTCAGACCATGAAATATTTTCCATTAAGGGAATAGAAATTGTTGAAGACAAAACTCAGTCAAGCAGTGAACGAACAGTCATTACTAAAACTGGAAAATTATTAGAAGATCAAGTTTCTCCAATTATATTTATGACTATCTCCGTAATATTCGCCACATAAGCTAGAACATTCATTCACAAGATGGTCATTGATATAAAACCATGCATAAAGGTGTACATGATAAATATTTCAAGATTCCGTTATTATTTGAGAACATTTGCATACATTTACTTTTTGAAAGCTGGCTTTTTGAACACTATGATAAAACGATACCACTGTCTACTTATTGATTTTTATTTATTAAGTACCTGAACATTTGTTCCTTGTTTTCAATGGACTACTTTTACATGAAGCACTGGATCGTATTTCATTATCTGCTCATAGACCTATCCCTCCACGTATTGATATGTTGCGCGTTAAGTGGAGAGCTGGTTTTGAACGTGTAAGTAATTTAAATCCTATATTTATAAATGTGATGGTGATATTTTAAAAAGATAATATTGATTTATTTAAAACTTAGGATCGCTGAATGTGGCTAACCCATATATTATTTAAATTTATGAATAATGTGTATATAAACTGGCACGTTATGTTATTTTTTCTTCCCATGCTCATCTAATTGACGTCGATGTATTTTTATGCTTCAAACATATTTTACTCACAGTTTACGAATGCTACTGAATTTATAGACGGCTTTATAGTTTGTCATTCCTGCTTTTTCCTTGCTTATCAGCACTTCATTTAGTTGGAAAATTATTTAATGTCATATAAATGGTTCCGAAAAGTAAATTTTCCCGGACCTGATCATAAAAGTGTCCTCACTTCAATACTCAATGCGTTTTCTACTACCTGAAGACTTTCTGAGCCATTGGGAATACGAATATCATACACTTCAATTTCGTAGTCAAGTCAACAACAACGTAGAACTTCGTACGTACGTACATCAGTTCAAGTTACTATACCATATTAGCACAGATATTTCAACAGTGTTAGGTTTTTCTAGACAAACTGAGTAAGAGCGGGAAAAGATTGGCAATATACTGAACTTCTTCCAAGTTTAAAATGTCGTTCCAAGATTTTGAGACGATGGAGAAAATTTGTAGCTCAGGTGGATGATTTTGGTGGTGTTTCGTTCTCTGAGCTGGATCTTTCGGTTGTGCACCTTCCATCGTTCTTCTGAATAACATCATCAACACAAACTTCAGATAGAAGTGGTGTATTCGAATTTCTCCACGTTTGACCTATTGCTAGATCTATTAACCTCGATTCTAATTGGTTATTGTCCTTAAACCTGTATTTGTCTGCACCTTTGTTTTGGTTGTATCCCTCTTTGATCTGTTCCTTGATCTTATGTCATCTATGATTTTTCTGACTGGTTCATAAATTTGGTCAACGTTTATGTGTTTGTTAATCACTGATTGATCTGAGTGCCAAGCTTCTAAAAATTCTCAAGTGTTCTTCCTACTCCCCCTATCTAGTATTTCCATATTTCTCCAATCGAATGTATGTCCATAATTGTCCATATGTATTGATATAAGCGACGAATTGTCGTGGCGTTTGACTGCTAATTGATGTTCACGTAAACGAAGCTGAAGAGGACGTCCACTTTGTCCTATTTAGTGTTTTCCACAATCTAAGCAATTTATTTTGTGTATGATATTTTATGTTTCTTCTTTTGTCATTTTGTCCTTTGGTCTACATAGATTGATTGATGTGATTCTGTTGGTTTGTGTGCTACACCTATTCCAAATGGCCTCAGTAGTCATGCTGTAATTTCCGATGTATTTTCTGTATGTTAGGATGATCCGTTTGTTGGTTGCTGTGCTTGATTTCGCTCCTGTTGATGACTCCGGTTGATGTTTTTGAAGTTGCCGTTCTTTTGGAAGATGGTCATAAGATATTTTTCTACGTTTTTTGTGTTTCATGTGTGCTGCAGTGTCTTCGCTCTCTTGGACCGCGTTTATACGAAGTCGATTTTGTGAGTTCTTGGGTTATTGCTGCTGTAGTTAAGAATTAGATCTGTGTGGGCTGGCTTCCGAAATACTTGGGTCTCCAATTTCCCAGTATCAGTACTGGTGATTAGTACATTCAGGAATGATAGACTGTTGTTTGATTCCTTTTCCATTGTGAATTTTATGTCATCAAAGACGTTGTAGATGTAGACTGTATCTTTCAGCAGGTTAAGTAATTTGTCGCATGCTAGATATCGATTCGCGCATCTAAAAGTAAGTATTCTGCTCATTTATCTCCTCTGTATCACCCCAAGAATATAGAACACCTTTAAACGTTACTGTATACATGTTTACTCTTACATATCCTCATGGCAATCTTCATAAATCCGGCAATTATAGGACTCTTAAAATAATCATAATTTTCTTGAATGTAATCCACAGATTTATTGTTTCTTTAAATAATAAACATATCTCAATAGTTCCATCTTTTGTAAATCAATTCAATATAAAGAAATAAATAATAGTAAATATTCAGTTAATAGTAAAGTTTGTTAATTATTTTATTTCTATTACTTATAACACAATATCTTGTTACAATATCTACGGGATGATTAATTAAGTAAATATATAAAAATTATTAATTAATATTGTTGCAGAATTGACAAGAAAAATGTTGCTATAATCAATGCTGTAATCAAATTGTTATAAATGTTCAATTAAAAAAGTGACATTTTTTTATAGTTATGTTGAAATAACAGTTCTGTCTAGTATTTATTGCACTGGAACTTTTATTTCGGGTTACAGGATTAACATATTTTTATTGTTGGTTTATTCACAGTTAACATACAACATTGATTTGAAATCAATGAATCACACACTTCTGCATACTCCACTTCTAAATATTGCCAAATCCGGTTATATACCAGCTACTCAGTCAGGTAATTTAAATTTTCCACTTTACGTTCAAGTGATAAATAGGATATTTAAAGATTTTGTTATGGTACTCATAGCATATTTTTTTAAATTCATATTTACTATTGAAATGATTTTTAACAGTTATTTGTTATCGGAAAGTAAGTTTAAATTTGCGTTTCACAGTTCACTAAACTGTGTATTACCAAAAATCTATTGTCTGTGACTTGATTATTATGTCTGCCACCGATTCTCGAAGCGATGTGTTCTTTGGTTTCTCTCTTCTCATTTGACTTGGAGGATTCCAAGTGAGGGCTTATCTTGTGACGCAGTGGGATGATTTCCTCAATGTGTTTCCTATTCACTTCCAGCAATTCTTCCTGATTTCTTCCTCCGCGGGAATTCGGTTTGTTTTCTCCCACAATAGGTTGTTTTTGATAATGTCTGGCCAAGAGATCTGAAGTATTTTGCTTAGACAACCGTTAATAAATATTTTTATCTTCTGGATGATGTTTTAGTAGTTCTCCAAGTTTCCGCCCAATACAGTAGAACTGTCTTGACATTTGTATTGAAAATTCTGACTTTAGTGTTGGTTGGTAGTTGTTTTGAGTTCCATATGTTATTCAATTGCAGGAATGCTGACCTTGCTTTGTCGATGCATGCCTCCATATCTGCATCAGATCCACCTTGCTCGTCAATTATGCTGCCCAGATATGTAAAGGTTTTTACATCTTCCAGAGCTTCACCGTCAAGTGTGATTTGGTCGATGCATGTTGTGTTGTATCAGACAATTTCGATTTTCCTTTCGTGCATGTACAGACCTACTGCTGTTGAGGTTGCTGCAACACTGGTCGTCTTCTCGCGCATTTGTTGTTGCGTGTGGGATAGAAGAGCCTGATCATCTGAGAAGTCTAGAACAACCAACTATATCCTGGCTGTCCACTGTATCTCATGCTTCCCTCAGATGTTGACGTCTTCATAAACAAGCTATAGAAATAATATTTTCACAAGACTAAATACACTAGGAATCAGGCTTCTTTCCAAAAAAATATATTAGACAAAAATATATCATATCAAATAATGTTCAAATATAAGATTATTTTAAAATTTCACTGTCAGTAATTTTCTCTAATTTTCAGATGTACAAATTTCCTTACCATGCACTGGAAGATTTACTGGTATAGCTCCGTTTCAAGTGAGACTTGATGTTCAAAGAGAATTTGAAGGTTTAAGAAAAATTCCACCGATTTCTTTTATCGTATACAAATACTGTCTTAGTGCATGTGAGTTAAAATAACATATTATGATTATATTCCATATTATTAGACAACAATTCTGAAGTGATTCTACTATACAGATGTATAGTAAAATAATTAATTTATTGGCATGATAGTTTATTTGTTCAGTGATATGAAGTAGTAGGTAGAAAGATGTATATCTATGTTTCATGGAGGTATCATCTACAGTGAGTATTAAATGAGTATCTCTCATATAATCATTAGGAGTTGAACTCATTTCCAATCATACAAAGTCACAAAAAGATTATGAAAAAAGTAAACAATCTTAGAAGAATACTGTTTCGAGTATTCATGATCAAACATCAGCTTTGCAATCAAGACAGATTGTTTATCTATCCCGGCTAATCTACTTTGAGATAAAACAAAAAGATAGATTTTTAAACAACGGGAAAAATGTTTCAACAAACAAAAGCACACAAATCACTAACAATAAACGTAGAATCTCGAAAGTTACGCGAATTCACTTATACAATCTAAACTTACTTTTTGTTATAACACTCAAAAAATATCCTAACAACTTCAATCCATACAATTTCGTACCATTATAAGAAAACTAATTATTGTTAATTAAACTATATGCTCAACTACAAAAGTGCTCACTCATAGGTTTAACAAAAAGAGAATAGTATTTTCAATACATTTGATGCATACATAACAACTACGATTAAGACGTAGAATATTATAGAAAGAAACGAATATACGCGTAAAATTTACAAAGCTGTTTCGTAGATACGGAGACTAGAACTACTGAAGAGTTTGTTCACGAACAACAAAATTGATTTACGAGAACACTTCTTAGACAAAACTTAAGATTATTTTATTTTTATCTATATGTTCTATGGATTTCACATCCACTGTTTATGTACATATAATAATGAGAAATAATCATGATATTCTATCCACCTCCTTGTCATTTAGCTCAACAAACACGATTTATTATCAAATGTGAATGCCGTGCTCAATGCTTACAATCAAATATCAACAGCCGTAATTCAATTCGAAAACGTTGTGCCCGACGTTGCAGAAAACGGTTTGGATTAAATAATTCAAATCCCAAACAGACCAAATGAAAATCAATATTCGAATTCAAAGAACAAAGACAGATGAATTGTAGATAAATAATTTTTGTATTTTGATAGCTGTCAACATTACATAGTAAATTTTCGAAGTAAAAATTGTTTAAAGCTATTACACATTTAAGTGTTTCCGAAAAACCTGACGTAACAAAGTATCTGAACAAATTGGAAATTAAGTCTATCAAGATTTACTTTAGATAACATTATGTCTGATCTGAAACAAACATTTTCAGTAAACTAAAAAATTTAATAAATCTTGTACAATATTCTGATATTTCAATAACATAAATATAAGGTTTGCATTTTAATTGTTATTTACTTCATACAATTAGTTCCTTTTATTTAATTATACTACACTTGACTAATAAATAATATAACTATTGTTTAACAAGCAGAAGAGACAGACATTTTTTACAATAAGTTATTTGATTTTTTTAAGTACAAAACATAGAGATAGATATATTTGAATTTGCTGATTTGAAAGGCATGAGATGAAAAATGAAATGGTGCAAAAGAGTATGAATTTATAGCAACGTCAATAAACTGTAGAATAGTAACTACGTTAGTTTCAGAAAATCCATTTAAACATATAAGAATTGGTACAAAGAAGCACTAAAGGTTTGTGTGAACTGGACTAGTACCTGAGTGCCGAAACTGAAGCAGGTGGTCTGCTTAAGAGGTCATGATCAGTTTTAGAAAACTGATCAACACTCCATTTGTAATCTTAATTGTAAATCTAAGTATTTTCATGACACACAGGAGTACATATAGGTCAGAAAACATCATAAGCCTCTAGTAACTCTTTACAATAGACATATTTTAGGACAATTTAGTTACATTGTTGCTGGAGATTTGTTCAGTTTAAGCGAAAAAATTGGTATAACGTATTCCGGTGACTTTCGAAAATATGGTAAAATGCTTTGCAGTTGAAATTTGGAGAAGCACCGTATTCAGTTACCTTTTTTATAAGGAAATGAATAATTTGAGGATAACTGTAATCACGAACTGACAAACATCGTGTTCACAAATGTGTAATTATCATCTATAGAATTCACAAGCAAACACGGGCCATTCATAGGATGAGTTCACTTAATGTGATTGAATAAGTCCAGAAAGACAATTGGAACAGAACAATTTAAATTCATCCCACCTTACGATCCCATCCCAAGTAGAATAAAAACATTTCTTATGAGTTGTATCTTGCTTGACGCCTCCATTGTTTTTGTATGCTTATTAAAAGGCTACCGTGAGAATCCATTTTGCTGTTAACAATACTTTCTCTAACCTTTCCACTAAACATAGGTCGGTACAACTGCTTATTTGGAGCATCTGAGACAAGCGTAGTAGATTACACCAAAGTACTTCTGGGTACCTTTACAGCGTATTATTTGTAATCCTGAGACTTGAGTGAAACTTATCGTCATGGTTACACTCCATAGTAAATTCTATCCATTAATACGTTTCAGCAAAAGGACTAAGTAAACATGTTGAACGTACAAGATTGATACATGTAGAAAATGTATTACAAAAAATAGCTACAGTAGAATGTTGCCTTATGAATTTCATGCGCTACATCTTCGTCCGTGCAATAATTTCAATAAGGACGTTATCATTTAATATGAATAAATTTTTAGGCAACGGAAATCATTCATGAAACATAACGACCCATGCTATAAGAAAGCAAACCAATTTCAATTAAGATGAATTTCTGCTATGTGACAAATATCCAACTCATAAATCCTAATCCTTAAAATTGACATATCAAAATGTATTCCCAATTGATAAACTGAGTTCATCATCAAAAAGTTTTAATTATTAAACTAGTTTTTTTATACGAATTAATGGGTTAGGAAAGAAGAAGGTAGAAATAATTTTGTTTACTATGTTGAAATTTGAGTTGCGAAATATTATCAAAGTGCACAAACATATCGTACCGTTTTCATTATTTTGATGTTACGCATGAAACTTCAGCTAATCATAAAAAACATACGATCTGGTACAAATTTGCTTGTGTTCTTCAAGTTGTTATATCATATAAACCATTCAAATTGAAAAAAAAAAAATTTTAAATAGTAATATTTATCTAATAATACAATTCACGCATAAAATTTTTAAATCTCTTTTTACAAAAGGAAGGAAATATATAAAAGAGTATCAAAATACAACAACAGATTTAAGTATATCTGAATTATCTTCAACTTGATTAACATTAGTACATGAATTTTCTACCTTTAAAATATTTTTTATGAAGGTTTCAAAATATTCAATTGAAGATCTTAAAGAAGTATTCTTAAATGCTAATAAATGTTTATCAGTTGATGAAATATTCTCATCGTTATTATTAACATTATCATGTTCATTAACTGTTATAGAAGAAAGTTGTTCTACAAGTTCATTTAATGTTGGTACATTAAATGGATCAAGTTTATCGACTTCTTGTGGATTGAATGGTATACATATATGACCAGTTTTTGGATGTACACAAAATGGACTCTTCAGTAAATGGTTAAGACCTATAAGAAAGGACGGATGATAAAACGTTAATAAAAGTACAAAGTGCAAGAAATTTTCACATAAAAAACTTTTATTAGAAATTACCTTGAATTTAAAAAATTTCTTGATAGTTTAAAGTTCTTTTAGTTGAGTGGTTTAATTGAAAATCAGTAGAGCTTACTTCTGGTATAACTAGGTGTTTTGATTATTTCACAAGCACCACCTCAGTTCAGTACAATTAAAACAATTAGGGACTCAGAACAAATGAGTGTTCTTTAACGATTTTCAATCATACATGCGTAAATCTCTACAACTACGAGGTCGACTGGACACTCATTCTAGTAAGTTAGAACTATATTACCACAATACGTCAACATTATTTGACTAAGATGCACAATATTGAAAACAAGATTAAGATTTTATGGTTAGACTTTTGACTGCCTCCTTAAAAAGGAAAGTTGTGGCTAATATATATACATATATATATTAACGATCTAGAGGGCATAACAATATGAGGATGTGACAGTCCACAAAGAATGATTGTGGGTTTCGATTATCCATTCTCAAAAACGCATAAATACAAATGAACTGTCCGTTACACAGTCAAGCTTATGGTTCTTACTTTTTAACACTGGAACGTTATTTTCGAAGTTAAGGAAATAACTGCAAATTGCTCAATTATAGTTAAACTACACAGTCCGACACACATCAAAACACTAAGTAGTTTGCACTTCGTGATTAGCAAAAGCAGTTGTAAAGGAAGTTAACTTTTATATATACGTAAAAAATGGCTTAACTGAAAAGTCTTTAAGAGTTTTTACAACCTGAAGTGCGCTCTTAATTGATATTCTTTCCATTCTCATACGTATCCATTTTAAGTGAAAAAATGCTAAACTAAAGTTCAAGCATTAGGAACTTATATGAATCTGTACATTTAATGGTCATTTGCCTAAATAATCGCTCCTTTTATTAGTAATGAGATAAGCCATGAATGATATTCATGAACACGAATAAAATAATTTACTGTAAATACTTAGAGCCAAGAAGCCAGTCGAAAAAAAAGACAGTGAAAAAGAATGCTAGTCAATGGTCAATAGAAGTTCGGCAAGAAAATAGCGCAACATTATTAGCTGAAAGTGTATGGTTTACATACTTGAATTATTTTGCTTCACGTTTCCTAATTGATACCTGCTAGACAAGTCTTAGCTAGTGACTATAGATAAACTAATTAACAAAACACTTGACTGATAAAAATATAAGCCTCGTAGCAATGCTTAGTAAATCAATATTAACTAGACGTGACAAACATAAAACTAGTTAAAGAACTTTACCTGTTGACACATTAGCATCTAGTCTAGGATACGTGTAATTTAAGACTATTTCCTTCAAAACATTTGTGCGGCCATTTTCTTTTAAAAACTTTCTTAGTGTATTCCATCTTTTTGTAGACACTTCATTATCGTCTTGAACATCACCAGACCACTCATCAGAAAGTCGTTCACGAAGATCTTTTAACTCAACGGGTAAAAATGATAGTAACTTATCTAGACGTTTTTTATTACCAAAGCAATTTTGGCCATTTATTGTACTGCAATAAGTTGTAAATCGAGGCATCAGGATATCACAAGCTGCATCCACACAAGGATGAAATACTGGCTCAATATTCCCATGTGAGTGTGCATCATGAGATTTCGAGTAGTTACCAGCAGTAAGTGTGGGCTAGTTAAAAAAGTTTAATGAATATAAACATACGCGATCATTTACAAGTTGTTTCAATAAATTTTTTAATCCATATTAATCACTTTGTTTAGAAAAATTACGCAAAAAAACATTTATGAATACGGAATTTAAGAATATCACAAAATACATAAATAAATAAATAAATAAACTAGTAAAATGGAAAATAATCGACTGAAATTTCCAAAAAAGTAAAAATATCACAACATCCAGAGATAGTTACAATTACATTCTGGATGAGGAAGCTAAGAAAGATCAGTAGTGTGACATAAGGATGTTAATCCTTTCCATAGATTAAAGGATCATCATCAGTTGTATGGAAACCAACTAGATATAGCTAAGAACATATATAGGAGGGTTTTCTTTCAGATACTCTATTAAATATTAAAAACGAAAAATGACTTGATTCTTATAATGACTGCAACTCCTAGTGCCCTTTTTCCTGTTATGATTACATTACCAATACTCCTTCTGTAAAATCATCGCTTCTATGGAACACATATTGTTGCTTCAATGTACGACACTCCTTTGTCATCATTACATAATCAAATGCGTTTAGGGTGAGTAATATTTTGGTTGACCCAGTAAGTCATAAATACTGAAAATTCATCATTTACTATTTGATAGCTGTTGGTTCTACAAACAATTCTTTGTGAATAAGTACAGAAAATTACTGTAAACAGAAACAAGGATACTTATGAGTGAGGACACATGTAAACAAAGATTCCTCAGGTATTTGTGATAAAATACGATGTTTTAACAACTGCTCGAAGTCACATATTTCTTGGTTACAAACTTAGGGGAAACTCGATGCAAAACAATTTGGTGTGCAAAAGGATGAAAGAAGGGAGAAGAGTTTGAATCCGCTTGTGAACGAAATATGAGTACTAACTTAGTAGTTTCCTTAACATGTGACTCCTAATAACACAATTTTTGACGTCTTTCATAGGTAATTGTTCACACATGATAAGTAGAAAAATATATATAAACCCAACTGAAGTCGATAGTATTCATATTTAAACCTTCAAATGATGAAAATCAAGTCTAGTAACAGCCGACTAACTGATTTTCACATACATTATTTATGTGTACACAACATAAAACTGCACTATCAAAAATGCAGCTGTGATCTTTAAGAACAGTTCTTTTAAAGAAACTGAAGTTTACACTGAAAATTAAAAATTGTAGAATTACCTTCTTACCGCTACCCCCTCTAACTAATGTTAAATACTCCACGATAGCTGTACGCGAAGTTTGATCTAAATGTCGAGCGGAACGATCGCATACCCAGCAATGAACTCCACGACGACCTGAATATACCCACAACAAGTGCTGGAAGCCAAAATCTTCTCTTAAAGCGCGATCAATACAGAGGACTGCAGAACGTGCAAGTTGCCAGCATCGGAGACAAATAGAAGATCCAGAAGTGCTTTGTTCACCACAACAATAACGAACTTCATCATAATCAGTCAAATCGATATCGAAGACTAATTCTTTCCATTCAGGCTACTCATGAAAATAAAAACGCATCTGTAATAGTTTTGTAGAAACATTTCGGGTCATATCAATGTCACTTGAACTTCTAATACAGGGTTTTGGGAGTAATATATTTTGATTAACACATATAGTCATTACACAAAAGCATGTATTGTTACTACAAGCTGTAATAATCCATTTATTTAGCTGACTTTATATATGGTAAGCGGACCTTAAATTCTGCGACTAAATGAAACAAATCTTCTTTCTGACGCAAATACAAACACGAACTTATATCTCAAGTTGAAAGCCTAGAGTACTTACATCAAGACCTGAGATTAGTTTACTACACAAATAGATCCAACTGGGAGAATAAAACTACACCAAAAACTTAATCAAGTCAATTACATCCTTCACAACCTCACCGACTGACTAACTTAAACATGTAATCTCGTACTCATCAGCATTAGTAACACTGACAGTTACGCTCATCGTAGACTGATTTCAGGTTTTGATTTAAGTACTATTGGCTTTCTTTTAACTTAAGTTTACTTTTGGCGGCACTGGAATTCGAGAAATACATTGACTTGTGACTAAGTCTTGACATGCTAAGTTTTCTGCTCACAAGGTTGATTTTTGTAAAGTTGCGTTCTCTGGTCTGAGTGGTTTAATCATGAAGCTTTCGCTTTATTTCTTAACCACATCGTCAGCAAGAAATTCAAAAAGTCAGCTACTAGAATTTCTCCACAAGTAATTAAAGGTCTGTTGTTCCAGCATTGCCCTATTTAATAAAGTTGTATCTCCTTGTTGTTATGTGTAGTTTTTTTCATTGGTTGGTAAATTGGATCTATTTTACTATGTTTATTGATTACTGACTCACCTGACTTCCAAGTTTCTTAATAATGTACTCTTCTTTGTGTCGCATTTTTCATGGATTTCAGCAGCCTGGACCAACGGACATATATTCCAGGTCCTAATTTGCTTATAGCTGACTGACAGAAATTACAAAAATATTGTGTTTTCTGTGTCAGATGGGTTAGTCGAAAAGGTTGACAGAATAAATATCCATTTCAAAACGCAACAAAAACAAAATTATCAATATTTATTTTTATGTTTCGGTCGGTTGTTCATTTAAATGTAAAGCGCCAACAGCGTAAGCTAGAAGGTGTTTTTCAAAGCCAAGTTGTGACACCACTATTGGAGAAGAAAGGACTTACAATATTACTATATGCTTGTTGGATGTGTTTTGGAAAGTAAAAGTGTCATAAATCATTACTATTCAAGATCTATCATCATCCAATACTGCCTGACTTTCTGATGTGTGTTCCATTTTCATTTTTAAAGATAATTTAGGTTATAGTAGTAATCGTCTGTCCCCACTGTTTGATTCCTTTTAAACTAACAACACAACTTCGCTGTTACAGAATGAACAGACCACAAATGACAATCAGTCGCTAGTTTCACCATCGCTATATTTTTTCTATGTAGCAGTATATACTTGAGATTCAGTCTGTCATAAAGCTTAACATCACTTGTAAATACTGTCAAACGCTATGCATCGCATAATATTGGAATGATCTTAGTCTTATGTACAGTCAGTTCACTTCTTTTTAATATAACCCATTTCCTTTTTCACAGTTTCCGATGTTAGCGGTTTTCTTGTGTGTAAAAACAAATGCTTTTTCTAGTCGACAATGCTCATCCATTTCCACACTTATATAATTGTGAGCATAAGATAATAAATTACTTAAAGTACTTTTTGACTACTAATGACTTTAATTGGCTCATAACTGTCTATTTTATGTATTCAAGGTGGTGAAAGTTAATTGCTTGTAAGGTTACGTAACATGACTCGAACTAATCCGCATTAGCACCCATTGAATCCTCAGTTATTCCATTTATATTTGCTTCCTGTTTATTAAAGTTTTATTAATTCAATTTTATGTATTTCTTTTATTTCATTGTCGTTTAATATGGTAATCAAAGTCAGCATACTTTACTAGTTCGAAAGTTTTTTCATGTTGGTAGGATTACACTGAATACGTTTTCATCGGTCTCAGTTTCAAGTAATCAGTAGAATTTTTTACGCCAATAAATTTTCCATCTACATTCGGTCAAGTTTATTTTTGTGAACTGTCGATGATAAACCAATTACTGTAAAAAATGTTTTTAGTCATCTGCCTTGTCAATACATTGTACACGCCTGAAACAAAATGAAACCCACTAAAAATTGCTGGACTGTAGCAACCTAGCGTAGATCGTGTTGCATCGCAGAAGAGTATGTAGTTTAATATGAAGTTGTGACTATTAGAATTGTAATGCGAAATTGAGGTGTTCTGTTAATCTGTCCCATTTGTTTCATTTACAGAGAAGGTTATCGATCTCGTCGTCGTAGTCGTTCAAGTAGTAGGGAACGTTATCATTCTCGGCACCGTCGGTAAGTGTATCTCCGTATTTTCATATCACTTACCTTGTCGCCAAAACTAATTACAAAATTTGAGAATCATATAATTAGTCTGACAATGTTTTCCTACAATTCCTCTCCAAAAATTGTCAATTTTAGTTATAGGCATCGTGTACCTTCTCACTTCTGACCATCACGTCACTTGTGTGTTTTGAATGTAAAATATTTTGTTTTTTTCCACAAGTGATATTTATTCATAACTGTCTATCATAGTTCCCTACTTAGATCCCATACATGTTTAATTTATGAAAGATAGTGGTTATTTTTATCGAATTCATCCTGCGTTAGGTCTCTACGTGAATTTGAGCCAATAACTGTATTTAGTTGCAATGGATTTTAATCGTTTTATGAACTACTAATACTATACCCTGCATGTCCTTGTTCATTGCTTGATATATTTATGTTTTTCCTGTTTGTGATTACTTTAAGGCATCGTGATTCATCACGATCTGGAAGAGACTATGATCACCGTAGAGGGACATCACGTCACTCTCGCCGTTCACGCGAAGACCGTTACTCTGGAGGAGGTGTTTGTCCAGAAGAACATGCTTCTACTGAAGCTCCCTCACCAAATCCATCTGCCATTGGATCACATAGAAGCAGTGGACGACGAAGTGATCGCGACCGACCTGGTCGTGACCGAAGCCGTGAAAGAGAACGTAGTAGGCATCGAAGTGAACGTCGGGATCACGAACGATCAGTTCGCCCTTCTAGGCAAAGTGATCGTCATTCGTCGCGTCGTAAAGAACAGTCTTCCCCACCAAGACCTCCTGTTACTTCGTCAGACAGACAATCAACTACAAAGCCTGATCCTCTTTCAGCTGCCGCAGCAGCAGCTGCTAACATTGCCGCTGCTCTAGGAGCTACAAACTCTAGTAGTACTGTTTCTTGATCAACTACTGATTCCTTAGGACAGATTTTGCTGCGCTGTACAGTTTTTGTATTTTACATGAATATATTTTCCAAACATAAATTACGTCCATTTTGTGATTCTTCGATTTTTGCATTTTAAGTTTCTTATGATTGCAGGCTTTTTAACAAGTATTACGTGATAGCTCCCATTTTATAAATTTCAAATTTGTTTTGCATGTCGTGATTTTATTCAGTCTATTTGTTAGCAAATAATTGTGTCAAAATACAACAGGGTTCCGTATGAACATATTTACTGTCGTTTACGTAAAGTGTTTCCCAGTAATCCTAAAACTTTTTAGGTTTGTATTTATGTATGAATCACCGTCGATAGTATAACGGATTTTCAAACACCCAGACTTCCTATCAAATCAGACAGCTAACCACACCAGTTTGCTACAGACCATTCCGTGAATTAATAATCATGCATTTGTGAGGCATTAATATCTGGTGTGTGTGTGTTGTAAGTCGAAGTCAGCGTACTGCTTGTATTTGTTCCAAACGCTAATCGGCTTCAAGATAAAAAGAGTGGGTCTACGTAGTTTACCCGTTTGAGTGGTGACGATTCATTTACTTCAAATAAAAAGTGTGATAATGTCACGCTCGTCTCTAGGTATGCTTAAATTATTACGAGTTCGCCTTAGACGAATAACGAGAACAAACAATGAACCAGCGTCCAGGTAAGCTACTGTGATCCCTTGACCAAATTGAATCAGTAAGAAGTCTTGATATAGTGTAGAAATTGTATTCTACAAACACCCAACCAGCACACAATGAATCAAAGCACTCAAATTGAGTTTATTTATACTCTATAGAGACATCCTTGGGACAGTCACAAAAATAGCACAATAAAATGACGCAGTAACCAACCACAGCCAAGGGTTTTCCTGGTGGGAAATGTGATCTCAAGGTCAACTGATCGGTCTGAAATAAAGATATTTATCAAGCGAGTTCTGGGGATCTAACATCACCAACAGATAACTAAAATCAAATTTCGCCGACCAATGCTACTGGATGAAAACCAATATCTTGTCTCCGTCTTTCCCTACATCATACACCTAATATGCTTCTTCTGAGGTCACTTAACTGATGACAATATTCATCTTCCATTCCATCCGGACTGGAATCTGTCGTTAAGTAGGCAAGAGTTATGAAGAAATGTTTGATTGAACTTTTTAATCTGAAAATATATGAACGAATATTAATAGAGTGTACAGATTAGGTCTGACTCTGATTTGGCGCGTGGTGTAATACCAACGTCCTCCTGATCGAACGGTGATACAAACGGCCTCCAGATAAACATTCATGAAACGGGATAAATTCACGTTCCAAAACATCGAAAAGAATTCCGGGTTCGGTGACACAAATTCATAACATGATTACCAAAAACGCGTCGAGGTTGACTGAAGAAAGAATGTTTTAATAAGTGATTCAAAGTAAGTCTAGTCCTATAAAATATGAGAGCAATAGACATATTGGGTTTATTTTGAGTTATGACAGTGTTTCAGTTAAATACTCGTAATCTCTGCTTTTCCGTTCACCTTGTCATTCCGGTTACTGTGGATAGTGTTACTACTTCTGCTTCTCAGGGATTCGCCTTGAATAAGTTGTGTCACTATTTATATGTGTACAGATACCTAAGCCGACGTTTATATTCGTCAGGTCATACCTTTCACTTCAGTCACTGAAAGGATGTTATATCTTGTCCAATATCAAGTAAAAAACTCTGCTCGGAACCCCTCTTGGTCTACTGCCATTAATTTAAGTGGATGGAATGTTCGAACAACAAAGAATTGCTGAAGAGATGAAAAGATACAACCTCGAGGTGCTTGGAGTCAGTGAAACACACTGCACGCAGGTTGGACAACAAAGATTAGCTTCAGGAGAGCTACTGTTATAGCCTGGTCACAAGGGAAATATGCTCAACATACTTATAAATTTGCAGTGATGCCGTCCAAATGAGTATATCTTCAGGGCATCCTTCAAAACAATGAACATTACGTAATGCTATGTAATTATCAACGACAACAATGAAGACGTTGAAGATTGATTCCGCGAGAGACTTCAGTTAATCTTCAAGAAACGCCTATCAATTGATTTGACCATTCTGATGGAAGGCGTAAATGCCAAGGTTGGCATAGACAACACTGGATATGAATACATCATGGGACGACATGGACTGGTAGAAAGGAACGCAAATGGTGAGAGATTCGCTAACCTATGTACCTCCAACAAACTGGGCATCAGCGTTACAATGTTTCCACACATAGCTACATGTTTGGGAAATCTAACCATAACAGCAAGCGAAGAAATCCTGAGAGAACTATATGATACAACAAAGAAGCGCCCTGTAAATTATCATAAACCAGAAGTACCAGTGGAAATCAAGGAAGACAAAGTAATCTCGGACTTAAATGATCAGCGAAATAGGTAAGTAGAGCACTCTGAAGGACTCTTAATAGTAGTAATAATATATTTTTTCTCATGACAGTGTGTAAGACGAGGCATTTTACAGGCTAGATCAGACTGTTACGAATGCTACCACTTTTTTCTGTAAAAGGTTGCGCAGTTAGTCGAGAAATAAGTCTGTTTCTGATATTATATTTACCCCGTGTCACCGACAGGATTGTTTCGATGCAGCCACATCTTCAATAGGTGGATGTATGCTCACGCGAATCACATTTTGCATATAGGTAGCATTGTTATATATATATATATATATATATATATATAACCGTAATTCAATACTCATGATGGAGTAGACACAGCAGTGGGAAGTCAAGATAACATTTATATAGGCTACTAAAATTAGAGAAACTTGTAGTAAAATAGCCGACAAATTAAGGATAACAGCAATCAAGAATAATGTGTAGTGTGATTCAAGGCATATAGAAGAGAAGTTGGAGTAAGAAGCTGGATTTCTGTACATTAAAGCCGAAAGTTCGGTAATAGGAATGGAGTTTGTAGAAACATTATTAGTTATATTTTCGACTGTCTATCGTGTTGCTTTATATCAGATAACAACCCCCAAGTCGTATTGTTACTGTTAAGGTAAAAATGTTGCAGGTTGTTGTGTCATAAAAGTGATCAAAGAATATATTATGCACGCACGTAAACATGTTAGTTGATATGCTCGAACTATTAGAAGTTTACTTTAGTCAGAAAACGAGAGCGAGGATCCGCCGATACGACAAGCTACTCTAATCTGAGTGTCTCAACCTCCATTAGATAGAAAACTTGATATGAAATCGAACCTATCTTCTACAAGCATCCAGAAAGTACGAGGTCCCAGTCCAGAACAGAATTAGGGTCCCTGGCTAAGGATCCTGGCCCAGGCCATAAAATGTTGCACATAATGCCTATTTATACAATTAGGTCGAATAGGAACAGCATCGAAGTCTGTGACATTGACAGTTAAGGCGATCAATAGGAAAAAACATTTGAAGTGACAGTGATAATCAGGACGACTAATGAGAAACAACATTGAAGTAGGTGACATTGACGTCTAGAACGTCCGTAACATTGTCCAGTAGGGATTAACCAATAGGAAGTAGCAAGCGTATAAAATCAACTTCAGTAACACTGGTTAGTTGCCTCATTAAGCAAACAAAATGTTCTGCTCACAAACATGGGTATTCAGTAACTTCACCATCCCTTCTTTTGTGTTGTTGAGGTGATTTTATATGACTGTAAGATAACATTTTATATTCTCCTTGAGGCCCTGTAAGTCACATCCTATTGAGAATCACTGTTTCCGCAAGTCCCTTTAATACGTTTGTCCGGCCATTACAGCTTATGTAATTTGGGCTGATCATAAACGCGATAACATCGACCAACCACATTGAAGCGTCACACACAGACCTCTCAATCAAGGTTGGTATACCAAAAATTTAAGAGAACAGCACGATCTAACGACGGAACAAGAGCGGCAAAGCAGCGAGACTGGAAAAAATTCCAGCTAAGACACTGGAAGCAGACGCAGAAGTAACTGCAAATATACTCTATAGTCTATTCAGCAAGATTTGGAATGAAGAACGATTATCAACAGACCTGGAAGAAGGAAACCTCATAAAAATAACAGCAAAACGGGATCTCAGCAGCTGTGAGAACTAAGGTCGCATCACTCTTCTCTCACTTCCAGGCACAGGCCTCAACAGAATGTTGTTAAACAGAATGACGGATTCCGCAGATATCCAACTTCAAGATCAGGCAGCATTCCGTAAGGATTGATTATGTACCGACAAAATTTCTATATTACGGATCATTGTTGAGAGGGCGATTGAATGGAACTCACTGTCCTACGTCAACTTCATTGACTACGAGAAAGTGTTTGATAGAGTAGACAGAATGAACCTATAGGGGCTTCTTCGACACTACGGCGTACCTGAGAAGATAGTCAACATCATACAGAATTCTTATGATGGATTAAACTGCGAAATCGTTCGTGTAGGACAGCTGACAGACTCATTCCAGCTGAATAACGTGTCAGGCAAGGTTGCTTACTCCTACCTCTTCTCTTTCTCGTGATGATAGACTGAATTATGAAGACGTCAATATCTCGATAGAATCACGGTATACAATGGACAGCTAAGATGCATCTGGACGATTTGGACTTCGTAGTTGACTTAGCTCTTCTATCCTGCACCTAGCAACAAGTGCAGATGACGACCATCAGTGAAGCACCAGCCTCTGTGGCAATAGGCCTCAACGTATAAAGAGGAAGATGCAAGGTCCTCCGACACAGCACAACATACACCAACCAAATCACACTTGATGATAAAGCTTTGGACGATTTTGAAGCCTTTACACACATGGGCAGAATCACTAATGAAATAGATAGATCTGATATGGAGATAAAGACGCGGATCGGTAAACAGACGCTGTATCCTCTCAATCGAAGAACATCTGGAACTCCAAACAACTATCAAGGAACAGCGAAACTAGAGTTTTCAATACGAACGTCGAAACCGTTCTATGGTCCGC